CATGATACTGAGCTTTTAAAACGACTTTAGTTAATGATTTTGTGTAACGCCTTTAGAGTTTAAACAATAAATGTATTGATGCTTTATTTTGAAGTTATTTAACGCTTTAATGTTTTTTATAATTTTAAATAATCTGTAAATTACTAGTTAATTTTTGTTTAAGTAAATAACATCTAATTTAACAGCCTTAAATAATAATACAGCGCTACACTTAAATGTGTTACAAAACAAAGTATATCAAACAAACAAAAAATACTTACAAAAAGCATATCAACACACTCCGTATATTTTGATAATCGTTTTTATCCATCATGATGACCTGAATGATTTTCTTCATTAAATATAGATGAAAAAAAATGGTTTGAAAAGACGAAAGGAATATACCCAGAACACAGGTTAAACAAAAAGGGAACTTGTTTCACAATTTATCTTTTAAGAATGTCTAAAGTATTTGTTTCTACTGTAAATAGTTTAGTTATTTTTTCATTATGTTTGAATAAGTATATTTTTAAAACATTTAGTTATTAGCAGTTACATGATTGTTTTGTCGAAACTCACTTTGCTTTAAGACAATTAAACTTTACGTGTCAACTTGTTATCTGCCATTTAGGCCTGCTTTTCTTTTTGATTTGCGCACAGCCAATGACAATTTACAACGCATCAGTTGTTTCATTTTTCAAGTTTTCTCTACTATATGAGTGGCTGTCTCCAGCTATTGAGCTTCAGCAACCATGATCTCCAAGTCTCTTATCATGAGTGATGTATATATATATATATATATATATATATATATATATATATATATATATATATATATATATATATATATATTGTACTTTTGAAATTAACAGATTATATATAAATTGTTTATTCAATATTATATACTTACACATTTTTTGTTCGTCGCAATAACATCCTGCGATGTTAAGCCGCATTAAAATTTAAATCCAGCCTTTTAACTCCAATGTCGAATACCATGTTCATCTAATGGAACGTTTGTTAAAAAATGAGCAATGTCTGAAAAAGTTTGGGATTATTCTAGACATATAAAAGAGAAGGGTTGTTGTCGTGATGGGGTTAAAATCGGTGTCTCACATATACATGAATAAATAGCTAAAATGAAAAATTGGCCGACATAAGCAATAACGGAAAAGGACATTAGGATGAGAACCAAAGGCTGCTTGACTTACGTTGGTTCAAATAAATAGAACCGCCCGAAGCATAGTACAGTGGAGTGGAGTGACTGCTGGCATTTACTGCTTAAAGGCTACAGAGGAATATTTAAAAGTTAAGTCGTAAATGCATATATATATATATATATATATATATATATATATATATATATATATATATATATATATATATATATGTGTGTGTGTGTATGTATATACTGTTTAAGGGCTTCAACATAATTTACCGAACAAGTGATGTAACGTCAGTCCGTGTTATCCACAGTAATGTAAAACGCACCAGAAAAGGATTCTTGGCCCCAATTCAAGTTTCCCAATTCAGCCAAATAGCAGCTCCCGTTATTATCTACCGATTGACAAAGCAATTTAATTATTTTTTTTAAATCTACTTTACGGGATACACTAGGGTGCTTTTTTAAAGTTATTCATCTTTTTATAAGGTGTAATGAAATTTAGTTTTCTCTGAGAATAATTTAATATACTTTTTTTAAAAAGCTTTTATAAAAATAACTAATAAAATTATATTTCTAGAATTGTATTTATTGTAAAACTAAATTAAGATTTTTTTTTGCTTACCTTCTGTACTATAGTGCTGTTTAATGTATTTGGTAATGTTGTCTTCGTTCCGTAAACTAGGTTCTCGCAAATTCTTCCAAACAAGACGAAATTTACGAAGCTACTTCCAAACGACTCTTACAGGTAGGACTATAACGCAACGCTTTCTTATTTTAAGAAATGGAGGGAATACAAATCGGCAAAGGATTCGCTCCAAGGTTCGTCAACGGAAAATAATGTTAGCGCCCGCATGCATATTTTTTGTAATGCAATTATAATAAGTTTGTTTCAATATAGCCAATACACTGGCCCATTAAAATAAAACTATATATAGTTGCATTAAAGTATATTAATTATTCGTTTTATTAGGCTAATATAGTTAAAACTTATAGGAGTTTTTTTAAACAAATGTTTGCTCTTATTTTATGGTATATATTAAACACATTTTAAGAATGTGTAAACTCATTTTATAAAACTACTAACTTTATTTATAAATGTAGTATGACATTATAATAAAGCAACTATTCATTTCTAGACAAAGCGTACTACAATTTTGTAAAATAACAATAATTAGTCAGTAATACATAATATGAAATTTAAACTGGGACAGTGTTATATTTTTTCTTTACGGGTGGTTGAGAATATAAATTCCTGGATGGAGGGGGAAAGGGCACTGATTAAAATAAATATTTACTATATATTTTTTCCTATTCTTTTTTGCGGTTTAGGGTGTGATGACGACATGTTTGAAACACTAAACTGTGTAAACACACCATTATACAAGTAGAATAAAATTAGACTGTTTTAAAGTTTTAAAAAATCCTTTCATTTGCCGATTGGATCAGCTTTACATAACATGATATTATCTAAAACATATTTACTTTTGATTTCGTAATTGGCATAAAATCCTTTATATGTATTCAATCCATTAGTTTTGAACTCCAGATACAAATAGTTTCTGGTTGATTCTATTGTCCAAGGTTTCGCTGAACAGAAACTCCCAATTACTGTTGAATTCTTTGATGAACCGTCGTATATTTTAAGATTGTCATGGCCACAATCATCCCCCAAGTCGAAATCCGTAACACTGTATTCGAAATTATTTATTACAATGTTAAATGTATTATATTTATTTATGATTAAGCACAAAAAAATAATATTTCTTAATTATTAATACTAATTTTTATTGATTATTTCTTACAGCAAAACATGAAATAAGTTCAACATTATTTTCGCGGTATTCAATTGCACAACAAAACCAACGTACTTGAGAAGAATATAAGTATCATCGTTGCCCTGTATAGTCCAGGTGTAAAACATGTTCCCCAGGTAACTAATTGGATATCCAGGACTAGCGATGACACCTTTAGGTTCGTTCAGTATGGTGTGGGTATCTGCATAGGTCAGATCATGCAAATTGTCATTTATAAAGAGAAATGTGTGCTGATATTGATGATAATAGCACACTGAATTTCCAGTCAGCCGATGTTGCTATAGTTATGTATATACAAACATATATATATATATATATACTTCTTTATATATATATATATATATATATATATATATATATATATATATATATATATATATATATATATATATATTATATATATATATAATATTAATAGTGTGCAATATAAGATTTTTTCTGCCTTTCCCTATTGTTACCCAAGAAACGTGAGGTAGAAAAAGTAGTGTCCATCTGTTTCAAAGACCTCGGTGATCAGCACTTTATACAATCGCCTCCGCTACGGTGTGAAATTTTTAATATAGAAGTAAAATATAATGACAAATCACAAAGTGAAGAAACAGAGCTATAAATGTATTCGAAATTATCAGAATATTGTTTTGTAGCAATGTGTTGCTAGTTTGGTCAAATTTTCGAAGCATTTATGAACAGAGTAATTCGTCTAATTTACTTCTTATACGTATGTGTAATAGGTGTTGCTAATCTTTTAATGCATAGAGCTCAACAGTTTTTCTTGTAAGTGTTCGCACAAGATTTTGTGTTTGTGCAAATACATCTGCTCCAAAATGTTCATACTTACCTTGTGTATAAAACTCTCCATAAAATCCTTTGTATGTATTGGAACTATCTGTTTTAAAAGTGACCAACAAGATGTTTGTTGTCGATACCATCACAGCTGAGTCTCCCCTACCACAAACTTTCCTAAAACTTCTAGCATTCTCAGTAGCTCCGTCGTACACGGTGATATAGTCTGTGCCACAAGATTCTGTTTCCACAAACGATATGCTACAAAACATTTGTTTTAAGAACAAAGTGGTTTAGTACAATGTTACCTACGTAAAAGGTACAACGTTTTAGTAATGTAAGTGTTATAAATACCTACTTTAAAATTATATTAGCTTTAGCTCGAGTTGATAGAGTCCATGTATATTTTTGTTTATTCAAATATCGTAAGGGATATCCAGGACTTGCCAACTTGCCAGACTCATAAAGTGTACAGCTGCTGTCTGTTTTAAGTTATATAAAAAGTACTATACAACATACAGATGCAATTTACGGTATTTGTTAACAGTGAACAAAAAGTGTATTTTTACATTCTCCTATACAGTGTTTAGACAAAGTATTTTTATCATGCACAAAAATCACATGACATTTGACGCCATTTTTACCTTAGCTTTTTATCATTTATGGAGTATTTATGGGCTACGACACGAGCAATTTCAGGTAGGAAGACGAAATTTTGTATATAAATGCAATATCTTATATTGGAATTACTGGCAAATGTTTAGTGACCTCAAAAAATCGAAATTGTACTTTATTTCTTGATTAAAATATACCGATCAGTTGAGTGCCTTTTTAATTAGGTTAACGATAATTGAAAAAATAGGTATAAGATTTTATTCCCTTTTTTCTATCAAAATTTAAACGAATTGCGGTGAGCGAAAGTATTACTTATTGCTATTTCCAATGACTGAAAACATATTACTTCAACCGGACATATTTCTTCAATTTTTTTACGCAGATCAAATGTCGATGACAACGTACTGTGACATACAGTTCGACGTAATTATATATTTAATTAAAATAAAAAAGATAAATAATTTTTTTAAAATAAAGTACAAAGTTTTAGTTCAATCAAAATACATGATATCACAATTAACTGTATATCAATAAAACGATAACAAAGTAACTTTTGTTAATATGTGTAATGAATATGCTAGGAAACTCTAAGCTGGAAATAGCATTATGTGTAATTTAACCCTATATGGCATAGCGTTGCAGTTTTGCAACAATACTTTAGGAGTAATCAATTACTGTACTATTTAATATTTTGTTTTGTTTTCAACTTATTTTACTCCGGATAGCACTTTTTAATACATTTTATACCGGAACTCTTTTGAAAAGAAGATTTTCTTTTTAAAATCGGCCATTTTTAGAAGCGATCTACACTTTTCTGCTTTTTGCTAAAAGGTAAGTATAAAATTACGTTAAAACCTGGTTAAAATTATAATAAACTAGCTGAAAAAAATATATTTACAATAATAACTATGCATTAGTACTAATTTAGTTGATTCACAATAAAATTCTTATTATTTTATTAGTAAGAGCTAGGTTTTGTATTGTTGCAGTTCAGTAATGCAACTACATGCAACGGAATAAATAAAAATGGCTGCTCTGAGCTAGACTTTAGTTTGCTTGGTAATTATTTCTACACACAAAATAGTTTATTTTATGATGTGAAATACATTTAGTGTTGTGGTATATTATTTATAACTACTAGATCTAGTTTTTGCCTATAATAATCATAATAAATTATAACCTAACAATAGTTTTATTAGTTTTATTTATTATATAATTATATAATATTTATCGCTAAGAGCTAGGCTAATGAATAACCTTTTGTTTTTATTTTATTAGGCTTTCACATATTCGTAACCATGGTTCCAAGAGTCTAAGTTTAAAGTCTTCTACCATTTTATTCTGAGCTACTCCTTTTGGCTCAAAAGATAGTGAGTTGTCCAATGATGAAATAGAGAAAGTAAACAGTACCCGGGACCTATCGGATGTTGGTGATGAAGATTTGTCTGACGCAGTTGAAGGTAACATATTATTATTGCATACTTTAAAGGTTTGCTTGTAGATTATTAAAGCATTTATTGTTTTGTATACAATTATTGCATAATTTATAACCAAATAATGTTCTCAAAATGTATTTCTACAGAGTATGCCCATTTGCGAAAAATGATGAAACTCCTCAGGACCTTCTCAATTGTCTACACCAAGGTCTTCATTAGCAACAACAGAATGATCAGTCCTAGTAAACAGCAAATGTTCCACCATTTCCTGATCCTAGGAGAGAAGCCAAACATCAGAGGCGGCCATTGGATTATTTCAACGACATCTTTATAGATAATCTGTGTTCGGACAGTTGTGTATCAATCCAACCTGTACTGTCCTCTAACATGACATCAACAGTCCTTTAGCACTGGATAAAGATTATTCCTGGAAATTAGATTTTACATAAACATTGTAAAAAATTCCTAAATGCCGAGTGTATTGGAGCCTTGCCACTAAGTGTGTTACGGTCACATACGTCATGACCATCAACAGATTCAAGCGGATAAAGAATAATCTGCACCTGTCGTACAATGTCCTCAACAGGACAAACAATCCATTAACACTGAATAAGAATGAGCTAAAACATTTCCTAGAAATTGTGTGTATTACATAAAGATTCTAAAAACTCTTAGATGCAGAGTGTATTGGAGCCTTGCCACCAAGTGTGTTACGGTCACATACGTCATGACCATCAACAGATTCAAGCGGAATAAGAATAATCTGAACCTGTCAAACAATGTCCTCAGCAGGACATAAATCCACTAGTACTGGATAAAGATGAACAAAAACATCTCCTGGAAATTGTGTTTTACATAAACATTGTAAAAAAAATTCTAGATACCAAAGATCTTGGTGCCTTGCCACCTCACAGACATAACCATCAATAGATTTGAGTGGATTAAGATTAAGCTACACCTGTCAAACAATGTTCAAAGGGCAGAAGTTGACCAATATCGGAATTCTGTGCTTATCAAACCCCATGCCATCTGAGATTCTAAGTATTCATGAGCAAATCGACCCATTCACATATCGTAGGCAAAATCAGTCCAACCTACAACCATAGAAAGCCATATAGATGGGCTACAAAGTTTTTGTTGTGTCCAACAACTTGTACAATCCAAGATTTTGAAGTGCATTCGGGTAAAGCTACAAAAGGACAAGATGACAAAGTGCTGTTGCTAATATTGAGCGGACATTATTACAGAGTGTTCCCCAATATGTTGGGCTCAAGATTTACATAGACAATATCATTTAGTTCATCATTTAGTTGCAGGTTGTCCTGCAACAACAATGCACAGAAGTTTTTATTTGCTGTAGCAAAAAAAATAAAAAAATGCTAATAAACTTTTTACTAAATAAACCTGCATGTAATTTTTCAGCTGTTTTTTTCTCTTTCAGTGTACATGATTTTACTGTTCTTTTCATCATAAATAAACTTACATGTTACTATTGTTACTCTCAAATGATTTGTACAAGTTATTTACATTTATATCAACAATTCTATATAAATATTTTTTTTTCTTATTATGGAAAAAAAGTTTGACCCTTGCGCATAGTTGCAGAATTGCAACGACCAAAATTGTTGTGATATTTATCATCTATTCAAAAAAAAAATTCCCTACATCTCAAGTTAGTCCATTTGCTGTAGAAATATGAAGTCAAAAAATTTTTACCAAGTAAACCAATAATTCATGCAATAAAGGGTTAAAATAAAATGCATAATAGGTATATATTATTAAAGGCTATATCTAAAATTTTAAATGTTTTACCTCATTCTACATATAATTAATCATTATCAAATATTGTAGTATTGAACAATTACCTCGTATCTCATAATTTCCATAAAATCCTTTAGGTGTGTTTGACCTATTCGTTTTAAACACAACCAACATGGGGTTTCCTGTTGAAGCCATTAACCCTAGAGGTACTGATGAGCAGAAATTTCCAAATGATGTGGGTCCGTCATAGATTCTTAGGTAATCATACTGGCAGTCTTCTCCTAAGTCTGAAATACTGGGAAAACCATACCTAATTTTATTTTAAACTTGCTCTCATTGTGATAGAACTTACCTTTGCAAATTACTGTATTCTCAAATATTTGACGAATACTAAATAACGGGGCTTTAATTTAAAAAATGTAAATATAAAAAGGCAACTTACTTAAGGACGATATAACTGTCAGCTTTGCCCTGTATAGTCCAGGTGTACATCATGTTGTCAAGTTTGCCAAATGGATATCCCGGGCTGGAGATATTACCTTGAGACTCGCTCAAAGTGATGAGGTTATCTTTGGCTGTCACAATTAACTTATGTCAGTTATTCGAACAATTTTAAAGACGTATCTTTTAATGAAATTCCAATAGATAATATTTCATAATTTTTGATGATGTAAAAAATGTATTTTAAATATATATTAAAATATATATTAAAATCGTCTAAAACTATATTTAAAATGAATATCATGTTCAAATCACAATAGAGCAAAAACGATACATAATCCTAAGAAATCATCTAGTTCAAGGCGATTTTATAATATATATTTTAAAAAATCAACCACTTTAAAAAAAAAAAAAATATTTGTGAAGCTCTGTTTTTATAGCAATGTGCTGTTGTCATGTTTTATTAATTAATGCCATTAATTAATGCCAGATTTAATATTAATACAATTTTGTAGACATGTAATTCCAATAGATAATGTTAACAATGACAACAGGAAAAATGATTAATTTCAAATTCACTTTACAACTATTAAGTTAGAGCTAAATAGAAAATTTAAAAATGTAATAACTTGAAATTATAAAATTATTAACTGGCTGTCAGGCTTCCAGCGATCAGGTGAAAGAAGAGGTTGTACATTCGTCCATCCTTCAAACTAACAGACATTGTTCTTCCATTTTAGTTTAACATTTAATCAAATAACCTACGTTTTTAGATACTGCATGGGACAGATGTGTCCCTATTTTCCATAAGGGAACAATTATCGATAATAGGCTGGGTTATGAATAATATCAAAATTTTTATTTCAAAATGGTTTTTGGTTGCTCTGTTTAATTAGAAGTGAAAATGTAAGTAATGAGAACACACTTATGTCCCTTATGAGTGTATAAGCATATAAGAATTGAACTTTTCGAAGCAGTTATATGATGTTATACAACAACGTGTCAGACCATATTGTTTGTTCTGTTCTCGTTCTTCTCTCTTGCACATTGCGCACACCTCATGATTTTTTATTTCTTTTTTTAGTTATCATAATGCATTTAGATTGTGGGGTTGGAGAGAAATTCCTTCCTTTATGTAATCCATAAATGAGAGCTTTAGCTATCTTTTTTCTGTGTTTACGCTGGGTTATTTCATTGAACAAATGATAGCGTTCATGTCTCCCACTTACGTATAAATGTCATTTAAATTTCAAATATATTTATCATGGCATTGCACTAGCAAGTTATGACACCTTGAGATCAGGTTCAGTGTACCAGTAGTCTGTATGTTGGAAGTGTATGATAACCATTGCTAGTTTTATTCCTAAAATTTCATGTTTCTTATGAATCAGTTTAAAGTGGTATTTTGTATGTTTTATTTACAGTTCGACAATCTGAGATACCAAGTTTTCAGGATATTTGTTTTAATATGCTTAAAAAGCATTGATAACTCAATGACAGTTAACATATATTATCTTCCGAAAATTGTAGAGAAATAATGTTTTCCGATGTCTCCACTCGTGTCAGCTTCCTCTGTATGAGAGTTTTAAAATCGTCTATAATCGCTCCCTATAAGGGGGAAAGCTAGTGTGCGTCGTGTATTTTATGCGCGCTGTGTTTTAAAAGTTTTATACAAGGTTATGTGTATTTTACAAAATGACTGCACGGCAAGCTCAAAACTACGGAGCGACAGGTTCAAAATTACCGCGCAGCCCAAAGGGAACATTGATTTATGAGATGTATGCAAAACAAAATCACCAGGAAAAGATGTAAGCCTTATCTAGTAGTGACAATCGTTACATTATCACTCCCACATAGATTTTGTCGACATGTTTACTTTCTCGTATATACGAAGTATAGAGAAAGTCTTGTAATCGTGCAAAAACAAAAATCGAGATTTTTGCAAATCTCGACGTTTTACGCCTCACTGATACGGAAAAACATAATTTTGCAATCTTGTCCGTATGTCTGTCTGTATGTCTGCGTGTGTATCTGTAAGCACGATAACTTGAATAACGTTACAGCTAGGTTGATGAAATTTCATGTATAAGTATTTTATTAAAATCGTAGATCACTATCAACGTTTGAACAATTTCCGATAAACGGAAGTGGTACTTTTCTACTTTGAATTTTTCAAAAGCCTATAACATGAGTACTATTTATGACAGATTAATGAAATTTCACATGTAAATAAAAGATCTAATTCTCTACCTTCTGTCAAATTTTGAGTAAATTTCGTTAACAGGATGTAGTAATTTACGCTATTTCCGATTTAAAAAAAAACTAATGTAAATTTATAAAGTACTAATTATTATTATGCACATTTTATTTGGCGTTCACTGGTGGGCAATTATTTTTTTACGAGCTTTTATTCTATTTTTAAAAGTTTAACTATTTAAAATGGATTAAAATTTATGTCTATATCCCTAGTTCCCATCCCCTGTTTTTTATATAAGAATATTCGAGAAAGTTTAGGTGGGATCACTCCCGGTTTATTATCTAAAAAACTCTTCGTTAAGAACAAATTGTTATCATTGTCATTATCGTCTATAAACAGTATTTGCTCACTTTTTTTTCAATGATAAAAGCTCTGCGACTACTTTTTTTTAAAAACATTTACATTAGTATACCTATTAAAAAATTAGTTCCTTTCAGGACCATATGGACCATATGTAAATAATATCCAAAGCAACACATTTATTTTTTTCGGAAATACATGTCAATAAAATACCTTGGTCCCCAAAGGGTTTTAGCAACGTTTTTACAAGCAATATTTCGTGGGGCGCATTAAGGGGATGGAAGGGGGTACACATCCGAACTCTGACCTTGTGGGTAAGGGGGTGGGGTGAGCCAAAAGAGCGGTGTTTTTTGACAATAATAATCGAAGTGATTTTATAGGATTTGTTTCTTAATTGTTCAAGTCAGTTAAACTCATGACTGTTCAAACGAAAAGTCCAGAGTTCAAACCCTGGGTACATGAGGCTCGATAAATGGGTGAAAACCGCTCATTTAGAAAAAAAAACAACTAAAAAATCAAACTTCTGCTGCCTTTTAGTTTGTTCTTAGATGGACAAAGGCTATGGAAGCAAATAAAAAAAAAGTCTAAAATCAAAGTCAATGCCCTATATGAAGCACAGCAAATCGACACGTACTTAATTGTGTTGGAGAGAATACCATCTAATACTAGAATCTACAACGAAAAAGAAGACGCTTCTTGATAAATCTTATAACCATTTGAAAGAAAAAACAATGTACACATGTAAACATATCAACATATAAAATTACATTTCATCAACAATTTTATTGTTAAGAAATACCATAGCTTGTAAAAAAAAGTATGTATTTAAACAAGGTAGATACCGTCTTTTACTATCATGCAATATCCATAGTCTGCATACATTGTATTAAAAAGAAAAAAATACCCTAAGTTAGAATTTATACCAGCAAAGTAACATTTTATTAGTCACTGGGATGGTTATTTGAGGGGATATTGTTAAAACCAGTATTTAGATTTCAATGTACTAAATAATTGTTTAAAGTTTTATAAGTGTATCATGATTAGTTGCTTTTTGTGATAATTCAGCATTGGCTTCAGTACGTTAACATAATTTCTTCCTTGAATATCTACATTCTTGATCGGTAACACCATTATTACTAAATATAATGCTTTCATCTCTAAAGTATTCAGGTATTTTGAGTTTATATATTGTGAACCAATCCGATATTTTCCAGTATCGAGTCAAGGAGAAGTAATAATATTAAATGCTAAATCAAATACCCTTACTAAACCTAATGTTTTGTTACTGTTTTTAATTGTTTGTCTTTGGTTATCAATTGGATTGTTGGAGTTGTGGTATAGTTTGGCGATCAAAGAAATAAATGTGTAGGGGATTCTAAATTGCTTCATAGTTTTCCATACTAATGACCTGTCTATAGGCCTGCTGTGACAAGCAATTTTTTAAATCTATAACTAGTGTATGTAGAAATAAAAAAAAATTACCGTGTGAATAGAACTCTCCATAAAATCCTCTGTACGTATAACTGCTATCTGTTTTAAAGGTGACAAAAAGGTTGTTTGTTGTCGATACAATCACATCTGAGACTCCCCTACCACAGACTTTCTTAGAACTTGGAGCATTTTTAGTAGCTCCGTCGTACACGGTGATATAGTCTATGTCACAAGACTCTGTTTCCACAAACGATAGACTATAAGAAAAATAAGTGTTAATTAGTACTTAGGCTTTCTACAATGTCACTTACATTTTTAATTCCACGTTAATGTATGGTCAGTGAGATATGAACCTACTTTAAAATGAGACGGGTATCAGCACGTGCTGATAGACTCCATGTAAATTCCTGATTATTTAAATATCGTAAGGGATATCCAGGACTTGCCAACTTGCCTACCTCATATAGTGTAGAGTGTCTGCCTGTTTTATTCGATGGAATTAAATCAGTTCAAGGACAAGACAAAAATAAAATCTGATTACAATGCACATTGACTATGCTTTTAATGGTTGTACATACTTGGTATGATCTAACATAACTTTCCCCATAGTTGGATACCCCAGAGTGTACAGAGTTTATATTTAGTCTAACAGTAACTTTTTGGCTCTCCTCTATAAAACATTTGGCAACGTATATTTTTATAGCAATACTTTCTGACATAAATTCCTTTTACATAACGTAAACTATGCACACAGATCTGTTATATCGAAACGAAAAAAATGATAAATTTTAAAAGTATTTTAAGTTGTAAATACGTAAAACATGAAAAACAAGACATGATAAAATACGTGTCTGCTTTTTTAAGCAAATTATAAACATAAACTGGTTACGTATCTAGAAGGTATAATCGCTAAGACCTCATTTAGCACAAATCAAAGAAAAATGTTGAGTCTTGCTGCGTACAAGTTCTTATAAAGTAACGTTATATCATGTATTTAGATGTAAATTTTCCTTTACGTGCTAACTTCGCATGTCATAAGTTATCTTAACGTGTCATCACTCTACAAATATTACGTCGCCTAACGTAATAGCTACTGTCCTGACTTAACACACTTTATGAAAACATAACAGGATAATGAATAATTTACATTATTTTCCTATATTCTAAACATTTTGCCAAACAATCAGATAAATTAACCAAATTTAGATTATTAATTGGATTGTTTCCTTTAGTCTAAAAATATCCAAACAATTCCAAAGCCACGAGTTCTCGAACTAATAAAAATATTTCCGTAAAAATTTAAGTTTCGGAGGGCAACTCAAATCTAAAAAAAAGTCACACTTCTAAAAATAACAGAAATTGAGATCGAGCATCTAATAATACAAAATTAGTAACGCTAGCCAATTGCATCAGTCACACTAATGTTTCGAACACGTAAAATGTTTTTTACTTTCTCGTATATACAGAGTATAAAGTATTGTAATCGTGCAAAAAAAATCGAGATTTTTAGAAATCTCGACGTTTTACACCTTCCTGAGTCGGAAAATCATAATTTTGTAATCTTGTCCGTATGTCTGTTTGTGTGTGTGTGTGTATGTGTGTCTGTAAACACGACAACTTGAGTACAGTCACAGCTATGTTGATGAAATTACATATCTAAGTATTATATCAAACTTGTAGATCCGTAACAACTTTTCAGCGATTTACGATAACTGGAAGTGAAACTTTTTTTACTTTCAATTTTCGAAAAGCCGAAAACTTTTTAGATAGATACATAAAATTTCACGTATAAGTAAAAAATATAATTCTCTGCCTTCTGTCAAATTGTGAGTAATTCCCGTTGAACGGAAGTAGTAATTTACGCTATTTTCGATTTCTCATAACACGCATGTGAATTTATAAAGTACTAATAATCTCTCTCACTATTATGCACAATCTGTTAGGCGTTCACTTGTGCAATTCTTTTTTCTACGAGACTGTATTCTATTATAAAAAGTTTAGGTGATTAAAATGGATTAAAAATATTGTCTATATCCCGAGTCTCTATGACCCGTAGTGTTGTATAAGAATATTCGAGAAAGTTTGATATAATACATATATATGAAATGCCATCAATCTATCGTATACGAGAAAGTAAAAAAAAAGTAAACATAGAACACGTTATTTGGTCTATGTACAGGGGAGGTAACTTTTTGAAGTATTAATATCTAAATAATTTTTATACTATTTTAAACATGATTTGTTTATATTTAGTACAATAAAATGGCGGCTTCCATCATAGACTTTGTGAGCCATTCAAAAGTTTAACGCGTTCTAATTTTCTGTCGGCTATAACTTAAACAATACGTCCGTTTGCTGTTTTTATTACGTTCCAACACTTATATCAATTTTCAACTGTCTTTTTCATTTAGTTTTAAAAATAAAATTTCTCTAGCTCTACAATATGTCCAAAAAAGTTATCTATTTATTTATAGATCTAAATATCAGGTGGCCAAGAAAGTTATTTATAGATCTAGATATAGAATCTAGGTCAATCAGCTCTACAAAAATAGAGCTTTCTTGGCAGACCACTATCATAGCCTGTGACACGGAAGACGCGGGCTGGCGTGACCTCTGAACCCTAAAGGTTCAACGCCAAAGCTCTATTTCAGTTACAAAATAGCTACTATTTGTCTGTATCGTCGTCCCTATACTTGTGTCGCTTGTCTGGTCGAATAATAGTCCTTGTTGTGTCTATAAGGCTAGGGTTCAGAGGTCACGCCAGCTCGCGTCTTCCGTGTCACAGGCTATGATAGTGGTCTGCCACAAGAAGGAAACAGATCCAGCTTTCAGTGTCAAAATTACGTGGTGATACGTCTTGTACAAATGTTGAGAGAAATCAAAACAAGCTGAACAATAGGATAACACGATCTTTAGAGAGTTATCGTAGCAGTGGCGGAACTAGAAAAAAGGGGCCACCCCGCAAAAAAAAATTTTTAGGCCCCCCCATATAAATATATAGACCTATATATGTATATATATGTATATATATATATATATATATATATATATATATATATATATATATATATATATATATATATATATATATATATATATATATATATGTATATGTATATATATATGTATATATATATATATATATATATATATATATATATATATATATATATATATATACATATATACATATATATACATATATAGGTCTATATATATATATATATGTATATATATATATATATATATATATATATATATATATATATATATATATATATATATATATATATATATATATATATATATATATACTCAAACACAACATACGAACACAGGATACTTATTCATGTTGGCCTGTTCGTGTTATGAGAAATACGTGGGTATTTTTTAAAATAAAACAAATTACATTCATTTGTGTAAGTCAGGGGTCGGCAACCTTTTGAAGCGGAAGAGCCAAAAGTTACAATTTTCAAAATTTCACTGGTTTTAAAGAGCCACTAAAAATTTTTTATTTTAAATATTTTATTTTTTTATTAAGATTATGAGTATGTGTGCAAGGAGCTGGAGAGCCGCATCTTGATATCAAGGGAGCCGCATGCGGCTCGCGAGCCGCAGGTTGCCGACCCCTGGTGTAAGTGCATTAGTCTGTTTTGTGAAAATCAATTTTATATTATCTTTGCCGTATGACAAATTTAACCTCCCTTCGGTCAAAAGAATATAAAACATGAAAGCTTTCTGTAAATAATGGTGTCTCGTGTCATGTTTATTTTTAAGGTTTTTTGTATTTATTTTATTAATTTTAAATACATTTTCTTTTTATACAGTGTCATTCTTTAGTAAGTAATTTATAAACAAATAATAATAAAGAGAAGTAATTGCTTTTTAATTTGTTTAGTACAAATCTATTAAAAAGAGGCTTATGAGCATCACTATTCGACTATTTAAAAAAGGGAAATAAGTCATGGAAGTGGTTTGAACGTTTGCTTATCTTTGATAAGTTTCATTGTAGGAGAAAGATGACTCGGCTTTCACAGTGGTTTAAAAACGAAGGAAAAATTAGCGTGGGGTGGTGTCTACAGAATCAAGATAATCCAACCGCAGCTACGGTAATCTTTTTTACAAATCGAACATTAAGCCAAAAATGCAAGAACATTTTTTTTAACTATAACAATTTTTTTTATGGTCGGCCGTGGGCCCCTAAATGGCGTGGGCCCCCCCCCGCATTGCGGGGTCTGGCGGCACTGTAGTTCCGCCCCTGTATCGTAGTACAGAAAGGAAGAGGAACAACGACTCAACGAAACTACTTAGGTCGAAAGAGGCATTTCGAAATGCATGTTTCAATCGGAAGCACAGGCACAGAACATTCGCTTGCTCATAGCATCATACCTGCTGCTTAATCCGACAGTACATGAAAAGCTTATCCAGATGACTCACGGAGAATTCTTTCAAATGTTGGATTATCTTTATGTGTGCTTTAAGAACTACACCTGGGCCGGCGACGTCCAAGCATATGCTGCTTTCTTTGTTTTTGACCGATCCATTATTAGGATAGGTGGTCTAAACTAGCATTTCCACCAGTTCACAGAAATCCAACATTTATCTCTAAAAGAGTTATTACAGTGGCTCTCTCAAGCCACATGGACAAGCTCAGAAGTGGTGGAAACAGATTAATCCAAAAGAAACAGGTGAGAGCCCTTATACATTCTTCATCAGGTGAATCACTTCATGGCCATGCTACAACGAACTGACTCAGTCGCAGACCTTCTGTACCTTTCCCCAATCAATCTCAACAACATTCCCATTGAAGAATATAGAATACGTGAAACGGATTAGGAATTTTCTCTATAACTCCTCACTGAGTCAAAACAACTTAGTTTTTCAATTGTGTATGTATCTCTTTGTGTCTGTGTGTATGTGTTTATCTGCCTGCTTGTGATAATTTTATGTGATACTGATTAAAGCAGCGTACGATGCTAGAGTCCATGACACTTTCTGAAAATTAAAAAGATTTTAATGGATATCCAGTACTTGCCGAATTGCCTGATTTATTAAGTGTACAGCTTCTCTCTTTAGACACCATTGTGTAGTATCAGAAAATTAGGTTTTAGATAATGTGAAATCAACAATATTTTTTACGTATTCCATTTTAAAATATACCTGTCCAAATTTTTGTAAAAATTTGAACATTGCGTTCACCTATTTAAAATATAAGCTATGGTCATTTAAAATATATTAATACATTCAATAATAATAA